GAAGAGGCCCTCCATTGCGTACTCAGGAGACATGTAACCGCTACAAGGCATCACACCACATGAATTGCATCCATGATCAGAATCTAGTAAATCAACGTGTTACATGAACACACATCGATGATGCCGCAGGGGATGATGCTTACTATGTTCCGACGACTCTGTTTGTGTTTGCTTCATCCTGGTTGCCACCAAAAATTCTTGCCATGCCGAAATCAGATATCTTTGGATTCATCTCTGCGTCTAGCAGAATGTTGCTGGTTTTAAGGTCCCGATGAATTATACGAAGCCTCGAGTCCTGGTGTAGATACAAAAGTGCTCGAGCGATCCCCTTGATTATGTTGAATCGCTTTCCCCAGTCAAGCTTTGCTTTTTGTGTTGGATCTGCAAAAAGATCAACAAGATCAACTGAGATCATGAATCTTCATGTTCTAGGCTTAATATGCATCAAATATAGCTAATCTGGATTTCTCAATGATTACAAGAAAGTGGAGGACTACAACGAACCAAAGAGGAAGAAATCCAAACTTTTGTTGGGCATGTACTCATAGACCAGTAGCTTCTCTTCCCCATGGATACAGCAAGCAAGAAGCTTGACTAAGTTCCTGTGCTGTAACTTGGCAATCAAAATGACCTCATTTTTGAACTCCTCCATACCTTGCCTGGATCCTCTCAAGAGTCTTTTAACAGCAATCTCTTGTCCTCCTGGTAGGTTTCCCTGAAATTAGAATTTTCTTTTTCTAAATCAACTTCATTGTCATCATTGATACCCTTTGTCATATTATATCTAATAGACATCGAGGAATCCATCTGCTCAAAAGGAAGGTCATGACCTTTTCCTTTTCTTTCTTATACACTATATAAAGTAACATATATAGTGAGGTTGGTGACAAAGGAATATTTGTAGTGAAGCTTTATATACCACAAGAAAAAATGAGGTCAAACACTATCAAGAATTCAACATTACGATAAATTCAGGTTTAATACTTACCTTGTAAACTATGCCAAAACCTCCTTGTCCCAGCTTATTTGAATCGGAGAAATTGTTTGTGGCCAAGAGTATGTTCTCAAAACCAATTAGCGGAAGTTCTGGACCTTGATGAGGCTTCCCTTCTATGAATTCGTTCGAAGCAGAGATGTTGTTCGCAAAGTCTGTACTTGAGCTCAGAACACATAGTAGTTTTCCTTTCTTTCGATCCTTGAATACACCTGGTTAGGCAGTTGAGTCAACCAAATTCTCATAGTCGATCAATTTGGTTCCTAAAACTTGTAGGGACACAACTTACCAAATACCTCACTGAACTTCCATAAGATAAAGATGCAAGCCAAACAAACGATAATCGCAGAAAGAGATACTATAATTACTATCCTCCGAGCCTTCGTCTTGCTGCCTGATGTTCCTGTTTACAGAAATAACTTCAGATGCATATTCTAAAACAAAGTCCGTGAAGCATTGTCAAGTGAAAGCTCCAAAGAATTCAAGATGGTGCAGCATATCTTATTATGACTGTAGGTCAGCCAGGACGATGCAGTGTCCAGGTTCATTACAGGAACAATGTGATCGTCTCAAAGGAAGGAAAAAAAAATCCATTGTAGATAGCAGAAAGAATAGCAGCTATATGTCAGTGGAAAGCTCAGTTTCCTGCAGTGATCAATATGTATTCATGCTCCACAACCTCAACAAGACTACCACATACTACCACCAGTGTTGCATTGAAACAATAATATCCAAAGGGAAAGAGATAAAATGCATACCTAAACTAATATCCATTAGGCGCAAATAGAGATCCTCCCCACCACCGCCTATCATCTCAGTATCTATCAACTCTCCCGCCCAAATCAAGCACCCTGAGATCGTTGCGTTTCCCGTGGTCACATCAGAATAAGCATAAGCCGTACAGGAACAATTGGTTAGGCATGCAGTTCTGCAGTCTCCGATGTTTCTGTTCCTAAGAAACACAGCGCGGTCTGGCAATTTCAAACCTTCAACTTTCAGAAATCCATCTCCATCACCGCACCTCAATGCCTTCTTTCTGATGCAACCAGCCGAGAAGTTCCCAGTCTCCCAGTCACTCTGAACCTCGGGCTTAAATTCTTCCATACATTTGCATGCTGGCACTGATTCAGTACCATCACAATATGCGAATTGACCGCACCATCCATATGTTCCACACTTACTTGGCGCAGACGAGTACTTTGTCCAATTCTTGGAACTATTATCCCAAATCAGTAACTCAATCTGTCCTAAATAGTTTAATGTGTATCTAATATACAATGATGCATCTGAGACACTTAGTGTGATGTAGACCTCATCATCATCTTCTAGCACTGTTACGTATGCCACAGCGGTGGTGTTGATTGCTTGTGATCCAGTGAATATTTTCCCAATCCACACTTGGCTTCTCCAGTAGAGCTTTGTCCCCGACCAAATCAGGATCTTGATAGAAGTGCTGGAAATAATGCCAAGGGAGAAATTCCCTGGTGAGGGGTCGTTTGCGTCCTTCCAAGATGTAATGTACCTGGTTGAGTGGTTGCGGTAATTGTATTGGATCTTCATACCTGGAACGAAGGTGTCCGTAGGATGATCAAAGCTCTGCCACAATATATTATCACTGTTTGCTCTAAGAACCAGACTTCCTGAGTTGTACAGCACTGCCGCTGTGTCATTGCCTGGTGTGCCAAAGCCTGATAAATTTGATGACCAGAAGATGCCACCTTCTGAGTCCACGATGACGAGGTTGCTGTCATCAGAGATTCGAAGAGTCGCAGAGGAATCATTGATCGGCTTCTCTCTGTTGGCAACCCATATGACTGTCCTTTGAGGGATGTTGTACCACACCCCGGCATAGAAATTACCAGTGGAATTTGT